TTTCAGTGCAAGGTGCCGTCGGTCATCCCCGACGTTACGTCACGCCGGGGATTGCCAGATTTTCCTACTAGACTTCGACGCCCCCTGCCATATACTTGCACTTGATGCTTGCTACAATTTAAAGGGACACTCCCACCTTAACATTAGTTTTGAGTTGAGATAGCCAAATTGGTGGCCATGGCCTGCAAATACCGGTTTGGGCACTCACAACATCGACAAATGCTTTAATTCGGAGATATGGAATTTCAAACTTGCAGTTTTCGGATTCTAAGGGGCTAGTGCATTGGTATGCCCCCTTAGAATTTGTGACGTCAGCGGAGATCTAACGATTTTTAAATCTTTTACTAAAACGTTTGGTAGCACGCGGTGGTATATGCTGCTTTGCGCGCAACAAATGCCGCACTTTCAAATAAAGTCGCTAGGAACAGCGGAGATCCCAAAAAGTAAACAAAAGTAAAAGTCTAATATCATGAAAACCGGTGAATATTTTTCGATGAAATTTGGTAGATATTCGTTTTCGCTCTTTCTGAACCGAGCGACATCACTTTCGTGCCAATTCATTAACTTTTTTGAAGGTGGGAGGGTCCCTTTCAAGGCTATAGAACTCCAGGTAAGGACACCAGCCGTTTGACCTTGAACGCCGCCGGCCGGCCGATGACGTCATTGGAGGCAAGCCGGCTCGGCGGACGCATCGAGCGAGCGTATAACGGAGGAGTGTTGGACGTTGCGGGAGCCGGGGAGAGATTTTGTTTGCATACCACCATTGTTATGTTGATTGATCTAGACTGCATTCTTATACAGCTCGACGCATCTTAGGCCTGGATGGTGCGTACATTCGTAGAACGGTCACCCCGTCCGACGTCCGTGGTCGAAGCTGTCTACTCTACATGTACCAAAAGACGCTAAGACCGGTGCAATAACGGCGACCCGATCCCGTCCCTGGCGATTCTAGGACTCGTTAGGAACCAGGCCGAGTCTGACCCGTCTATTTTTAGGGAAGCGGGGTGGGTGAATTGACAACCGAGTACCGATGGTTAGAATTGATCCCGTCGTCGAGCGATGGTTGATTGAGACATGTTGTAGTGGGCTACAACACATGTTGTAGCGGGCGGATAAGCATCAGGGATAATGCCTGAACGTAGGCAAGCATAATTGGTCAGCCATATTGTTTAGGAATATAAAATCGTAACGGAGGTCATTGAGGATATTATCTCTACATTACGAGGATTCACCACCAGTGAAAATTACTACTGTTAAACCCTCGTCCCGGGCAACTCCGGGGAGCTGCAGTATCCGGCGGCCACCTCGTCGACTCGCAGGTCCTGTGGGCTTCCGTGATGCTTCAGTGCTTCACCCAGAGGCACGGGTAGAGCAGTAGGATGTGGGGTGAGGTGTCTGTACGCCTCTTCATTGTAGGTACGACGCATACAGCGCCCAGTCCCGTCGAAGCTCGATAATCGACCGTGACATATTCTTAATTGGCGGATCCAGGAAGCGGTCTTGAACACATCGGGGGGCATATACCCTAAAAAAGTTTTCTGTGCATTAAAAAAAACATCGGATTTCGATTCTTTGCGCACTACTGTGCACTTCGATCAATACACTTTTCCTCATAAAAGTGGTGAAGTTTTCGTTTTATTCTTGAAAAACGATTTCGGACGCTGCCCCGGATGTGGGCCTGTGGGGGATAACATTTGTCCCAAATGCCTTCCCTTGCATCCGCCAGCGGGTTGCCCCGCCCTGAGCTTAACTAAAAACGTCTTAAAATCCCACCAGAGAGCCGAATCCGATAACTCATAACTCATAATCCGATAACTCCGATAACTCATATCACGCAATGTATGAACTCATCTCTGTCTGCCCGTCTAAATTAGGTACTACGCACCGTACGGCGCCCAGCCCCGTCGGAGCACTGAACCGACCGTGATATTTTTGGTTTTCCCCCATCCCCAGCCCAGCTCCATTAGAAACGTTCTCTCTCCCCATCCAATTGCTCATGATGTCATTTCAAATTCAATACCTACCTCATCTCTGTCTGCCCGCCCATTCATTGCACACCTTACGGCGCCCGGCCCCGCCAGAAGGATCCTAGCGCGCTGAGTGGTTGCCTCCAGCCGCGTCATCGCGAGGCCCGGCGGGGCCCGCAAATGAATACATTGCGTGAATAGCCGTGTCGCCCCCCTGGTCCCTTTAAGGAAACCAAACGTTTATGGGTGAAACGTTTGGGAAAGGGGTGAGTATCTTTATTTGTGTTTTCTAGCGCTTCGCAAATTAAAGAAGCCAAAAATGTTAAATTGCTGTCTGCAGTTTTTCTCAAGGTTTTTCTTCAGCACTCATCATCATCGGTAATTCATTTCCAGTTCAAAGATAGGCATTGGCGTCATTGTGATGGCCATGGGTGCTGTTTTCACAGTATTTTTCATTACTCACAGTTTTTAAAAGAATTATCGTCTGAATGGCTATGTACAGCCCTCTGCACACTGCGTGGTAGGTATTCTTTTTTCGACAAAACCGATAATATCTCAAAGGATATGTTATCAGTCGGTCAGAACTCATTGCACATAGATGCGCCTTGCTCCATTCCTTCTATTGGGTCTATCACTAAACAAAGTATACGCCTTGTGTGGCAACAAAATGCCAAAGTTTGTTTTGGGGATAAATATAAACTTTTGCGTTTTTTTGCCAAATTGGATTGAAAATGTACACCATGATAAGCCCAATCTAAGGCGCGGAGTCTCGCGCGTCCTGCTGTTGCGATTTCCGAGTGACCGATAGCATAGTATTCGAGTTATTCTCGGTTTTGTCGAAAAAAGAATACCTACCACGCAGTGTGCAGAGGGCTGTACTATGTTCATATGGGTGCAAACTGCAAGTTCCTGTTGAACCCAGGGGGATTTGTTACGTAGCACCTCAGACCTGGCTGATAACCTACATCCGGCATCTGCATAACCACCCTTGATCACCAATTTATTTTGACCAATAAGATGTTGAATTTCAAACTGAAAGCATTCTTTAAATTAGCTACCACCTAGGTATTATTTTATTTTGGTAATTGGTTGTTACCACTTACCATGTATCAAAAGTAGGAGGCAGTAATGGGTGCTTGCAGATGTTAGAGCCTAGTCTAGTTGTCACTTGCTAGGCTCTGTCATAATTAGGCTTTATTTTTTTTATCAAACTGTTAAGCTTTTAATTGACTTGGCATGCTGCATTGACATAACACAACTGTGACATTTGTGGCTTGGCGACAAGATGCCAGTGTCTTTGCCAGATATTGCCAGGTTTAGCATACCTACCACAACTAAATGATGGCAGTGTCCAGTCCTAATGTATGTCAAAGGGGGTGCATGCTCCGAGCCTCAGCCCCCCCCCAAATCCACTGCAGTAGGTTGTGCTGCCAGCCAGGCACCTTATCAACTAGGCCTCAAAGAGGGCATTACCTAATATGAACACGATAAATGAATGAAAAATTGAAAAAAATACTTTAAATTTAGTTGAGGATCAATCCCCTGTTCCCCTAGTTCAACAGCTCTATTTTTTTCAACAAGTGTGCAGCAAATGTTCAATTGTATGCACTTAGTGCTGGTGCTGAGTCAGGCTGACATCAGCTATGTTATTGTTCCCAGGCTCGGTGTCACCAGTATTTAACCACAATGGACATCTCTGAGATAATCAGTGATGTTCCTCTGTGGAACCTCGTGCAGCTGGCTCCTCTGCCAGAGATATTCCTGAACTACTCTGCTGAAGAGCTGTCTGCCATCCGCCCGCTATGTGCCGGCGTGTCTGTGGAGCTCGGCGAGCGGCTGGCCACGGACCTACAGGCGCTCACTAACGAGCTCCACTTGCTGCGCTCGGTGTCCTACCGCGTCGGCAACCAGTTCTCCAATTGCCGCGCCTTCCGCGTGGTCGGCGCCGTCTCGGGCTGCGGCCGGCGGCTGCGCCAGCTGGCCGACCCCGGCTGGCTGTCGGGCCGCGTGGCGGCGCTGGCGCGGCCCGCCGGCGGCTCCCTGCCCTCCCGCCAGATGGCACAACACCTGCTGGTGACCTGTCAGCGCGCGGGCCGCCTGCTGAGTCGGCTGGCCGAGCTGGCCGAGCGCGCCGCGCGCCTCTGGCTGCAGTGGCTGCGGCTCGGCCACCAGGCGCAGCTGGCTGTGGCCTTCCTCGGTCTGCTGGGACGCGTCTGGACGCTCAGCGGCGCCGTCCGCGGCCGGCTCAGTCAGCTGTTCGCCGCTGTCCGGCCGCTGGAGGGCCACCTGCTCGCCACGCCGGTCTCCTGGCCACACGATCCCCTACCAGACTGTCTCTGGGGCTGGCTCGGTCTGCCGGTCGGCGGTGACGGCGAGGCGGTCGTACCGGCCGGCCGGGGGTCGTCACGCGCTGCTCGGCGTCACGATCCCAGTACACCGTTCGAGGATCAGAGCCGGGAGATAGTCGTGTCGCTACTGCCGGTCGAAGCCGGCGGCTGTCTGCAGAGGACCTTCGCTGAGCCCGCTCCGAGTGAGGAAACTAATACCTGCAGCATCGAGGCAGTAGTCAGCAGCCCCCGCCCGACCAATGACTCTACGCCGATCGGTACTTTCGGAGAACGGGCAGCGAGCGGCGGACAGGCGCATCACGAGGACCTGGGCGAGCTGGTGGACTGCAGCGACATCTATAACTCCCCGGCGCTGGGGGACGGGGACGGAGAAGCAGCACTGCCTGTCGAGACACACCCCGTAGGTGATGTAGCGCTAACGGAACCAGCTACCATTTCTGACGGGGACAGAAAGCTGTACAGGAGACTGGTCAAGGTGACGCGACGCTGGGGCTCGCCAGAAGAGGTGGCTGAGTTTATTAGCGAGGAGACGGCGGCGCGGAAAGTGAAAAGGAAGAAGTGTGTCACGGCGAGACTCACCCAGGCGCAGTGGAAGGCGGTGAAACGGGGCCTGCAGGAGCGCTGCGCGAACTGGAGTCAGAGTCAGACTGAGGGCGATCTTGTCGGGGAGGAGAAATGGGCGAAACGGGCGAAACTGTTTGTGAAAACGTGGTCCATGTTTCCCGATTGCGAAGGGAAGAAACCAGCGGACTGGGCGGAGTTTTTGGAACGGGTGAAAGAAAAACGGGCGCCTTGCTGAAAATCGTGCGCTTTTGATAAATTGAAGAGCGTTACTGTTGGATCTCTTCAGGTGCCTATTAGTGCATTGTTTCGATCGTTCTGTGAGTCTTTGGGAGAATGTATCAGGAATGTATTGCGCTGTAATGAGTTACAGCTCGTAGAATTTATGACCAAGCATCTCGCTGCCCGAATTCGTTTTTATACCTGTGAACGGCAACCCACAGATGCCAATGCAAGTTGATCTTGATGAATGAATGAACAATGTGCATTATTTGTCAAGGGCTGTAGAATCGATGGGAAATATCTCTGCACTTAGGCATGCGCATCGTATGCGATATCACTGAACTGTGGCAACTTTGAGTAAGCACATGAAAGACAAACGTTTTGTTGAATGCAAATCACTTGAGGCCAGTTAGACTGCACGGACGTCACGACTGATGGTAAGCCATTCAATTGCATGTAAGCACAAAGCTCTATCAGCATAGAAACACTGCGGCAAATGCAGCGCTTCTCACCTGCAGCTGTCATATAAAACGTCGATAATTTAGATATGCTTCCAATACCGACATCGGTTGTCCTGAGCTGCCAGTAATGGCAGGTTAATGTGAGACGGGCGTGTGTATATTGACGAGGTGGTCGGTACTCGGCAGTACCCCGGTAATATGTAACCGTTCTGTCGATATTTTCCTCGGTGAAATCCATACCCGTGCTGTATCCCTCCCCATTCCTCATCCTGCACAGGTCTTGGAAGCTTGGAATCTCGAGGAATATTGCGCAGGACACCCTCACATACACTACGGAGGCCATTGAACCTGGAACGGGACGGCGCCACTGACGTGACCGCGGACTAGCCGCCATGGCTGCACCGGCCGGCTGGCCAAGGTCGAGCCCGTGTCCGCTGCGAAGGCCGCGCTCGCCCGGCAGAGGCGCGCGGCAGTCCCGGCCGCCCGGCCCGGCGCGGTGCGGTCACAACATGGCAGACCAGTGAGCGCCGGGCGGCGGCCGCGGGTGGAGGGCGGGGACGTGAGCGGTGAACTGACAACATGAGGGCTCTCGGCGTCGCCGTGCTGCTCTGCGGTGAGTGATGGGTTTTACCTGTTTAATTGTCTGTGAATTGTCCCATTTGCCACTATTGTGCGAGGAGCAGTTTCGTATGTAGTCTTTAAAAGGCCATTAAACTGCTTTCATATTGTGCGATATTCGTAGTAACTTTTGAGATTCATCCGGGGTTATGGGCATAAGTAACCCCCTATATCAGCCGACCGGGCTAATGTAGCGCTTCTGTGTCAACCCAGCTCACCCCATGATCATTGTTTATATCCGAGCATGAGCACACGCCTGTCAACAAGCCATGGCCGCAGCAGCACGTGAGCTGCCACGTCGCATCTCGGATGTACGGAAAGTCCATTTCCAGCAACTGCGCGATAGCTCGGCCGATTGTACACGTGGAACATGATCGTGCCTTGTCCGCTGTCGGGTATTGGATAAGTCCGGCCTTGCTCACATGTGACACCGCATGTGAACATGCTTAGTGCTTACCTGTATTCGTAGATCGTATTGCTATGGCATCTAAACATCGTTTCATCACGCTGCTCTGTATTATTCGCGGAGCTAGTTCGTCCGGACAGAAAAGGGGTCATACATATTCCCGCTCCACAAACGAGGCCTGCTGTAGGCTGACGCTGTTCGTGCCCGCAGGCTCGCTGCTGGCGGCGGTGACCTGTCTGGACAGTAACGGTCACCCGGACCTGGCCGAGAGACCGACATGCGGCACACAGAGCGGACCTGGGCCCAAAACACGGGTCAGCACCACAGAACGGTGAGTCAGGTCACACGCGGCCGTCATAGCGCTGCAGCGGTCATCTCAAAGCCGAGGTCAAGATCGTGGAAAGGTCACGCGGCCTCGGGTCACTGCCTCACAGGGACTGACCAGCTGCAACTGTTGACTGACCGACTGTGATATGTGCTTACCTGCCATACCTACCTATTCATATTGTATCATCATCCTATATTGCTCGGAACACCTATTCAAACCCGACTACGGTATTGCGGCGTCGCGTGTGTTACATTTTACTTGTGACGCCGGTACCTGATATCAGCTCCATTTTATCGCGATCTACAATAATGCTGTATAATGCTCTGTATGTAGGTAAGGTGAGCTAACACGGTAGATGAACCGTACCTTTTTAGGTGATCTCATGTAACCGTGCCTCTTCCTCCCTCTTTACGCCTGCAGGCTGGCCGGCCTCAGGTCACTGCTGGCTGACCCGGTGTGCGAGTCGCACTGACTCTATGCTCTCGCTGCAGGCTGGCCGGCCTCAGGTCACTGCTGGCTGAGCCGGTGGGTGACGCGTATCAGATTCTGGACGCCTACATTGTCCCTATGGACGACGAACACCAGGTAAGGTAAACGAGGCGGAACAGGGAATCGTTCTTAATGAAACAATTATGGCTTTTTGCTTTTATCGTATGATATTACACTAGCATTTCTTCACTGGTCACTGGTCACTGGTCGATGACAGCAAGATACACATTATCACTGACTGATTATAGTACCTTTAACGATCTTCACTTCACCTGATGCCGTACAGTATATCACGCACTGGGGTTTGGCTTCGCAAAACAGTTAACTTACATAAGCGTGATACCGCAAAATAGATTACCTTTTAGAGACGTGGCACCGCATGTATCAATTCCAAGGTTTGGCACGCACCAGTTTGGTAGATGTTTCTTCTCGGCCTCTGAATCATAATCAGGAGAGCTCGATCCGGACGGGAGGACCGGTTGTAACACATTCCTATCCGTTATCTATTCACTACCCGCAACGCAGTACCCAAAGGTTACAGTGTCTCTGGGTCACGGATACATACTGAATTACCATCAACTCTCACCCATGACAGGACTCCCAGAGTCACTGTTCATATGTATTTTCACCGAAGCAGCTGTTGCGGCGGGGACCGATGCAGTGCAGTATGAAAGGCGGCGAAAGTCACTCGCAGCGGATGACGAATGGACTGCGCAGTACTCTTCACTCATGGGAACGCTTTCCAATTACTGCTAGCAGCGTGGATTTTCCACGGCTGCAGTGACTGGATAGGTTTTGCACGACTGTCGCTGCCAGTCGTACTGAACAGACAACACTTGCGCAATAGTCATGTACGGATTGACACTCGTTTATGAAACGCAACGGCGTAATTCGAAGACATTCCATCACCTTTTTTTAAATATACACTTATTACACTCAGATCACCTTATCACATTCACAGTCATCCGACATCATCCACTCCGCTGATGCGCCAACAGTGGCTCATCAGTTGCTGCATCAGCCGCATCAGCTGGCACATTCCATCACCATTGTTTTCTGTGCCTTCTCCCCAGCAATGTCCCTATCTCTCTGTGCCCACAGACGGAGTACATCGCGCCACAGGACCGGTTCATCAAGTTCATCTCGGGCTTCAGCGGCTCGGCGGCGCTGGTGGCGGTGACGGCCGTGCGCGCCGCGCTCTGGACCGATGGACGCTACTTCCTGCAGGCCGAGGACCAGCTCGACTGTAACTGGTACCTCATGAAGGAGGACACTGGCGTGAGTACGGAGTAGGCGGCCAGTCGGCTGAGTAGTACAGAGCAGTCGACAACGAGACAGGGGTGTACGGAAGGGATAGGGGATGGCTGCTAACTGGTGTCTGGCAATTATCAGCAGTGTGCCCGTTATCGAAATATCAATGCTCTGTATCTGTCTTAGAACGTTCGATTATGTCGACGTAAGACAACGTTGCATACTTTCGTCAGCCCGAATAATCATGCTTTTAAAATAACGACCTTTAAATCACGTATGCAGTTGTTCTTTCGGTCGAATGATTAAATTTTGAGTGTACGACCTTCATTAAAGTTCGTAGTCTTTAAAAAGCGTTATAAGGTACAGATCAAACCATGTGTTGCTTCAAAGTCAATGGAGAGCTTCGTCCTTGACTATCCAACCCGGCGTTCGGTCCTGGTGCCTGCCTGGCGTGCCTAGTGCGTGCCTGCCATCTCGCACGGAGCCAGACACCTTTTCAGTGTATCATTATTCACCTGCGCAGCGTGCGTCTCCGCCCCAAGGCTGAGACACGGCCGTAGCGGACTGACGCAGTTCTGTGTGACTCATGCAATGACCTCCGGCTGCGTGGAGCTTCCTCTGCAGTCAAACCATACAGTCAAACTGAGTTGTTATTCAAAGGTAGTTACGGTCACGGAAGTGGAAGCCTTGTATGGAAATTGGAAAGTGAATGACGAGGCGACATGTGACTAGAGTCCGTGCACACTTCATTGGTAGCATTTGTGCCGCGCAGCTCTGACGGTGCTCTCCCGGTCTCTCTCTCTCTCTCTCTCTCTCTCTCTCTCTCCTCTCTCTCTCTCTCTCTCCTCTCTCTCTCTCTCTCTCTCCTCTCTCTCTCTCTCTCCTCTCTCCCTCTCTCTCTCTCTCTCTCCTCTCTCCCTCTCTCTCTCTCTCTCTCTCTCTCTCTCTCTCTCTCTCTCTCTCTCCTCTCTCCCAGGCCCCGGAGCTGGCCGAGTGGCTGACCGGACAGCTAAAACCCGGCGCCAGGGTCGGCTCCGATCCCAAACGGATGGCCGCCCTCCGCTGGATCGAACTCAGCGAAAAACTCAAAGGTAGGTGACATCAATCATAGACCTCTGTATACCTTCATTGGCCTGGCATACACTCTGTTTACAGAGTACACAGAGGTCTATGCAGCAACGAATGTCGGGGCATTAGTTTCCTGAAAGGTCGAACGATTCTTTTCGTTCACATTGTTTTCATTATTTTTTCATGTTATGTGTCATCGAAAGATTTCATTGTCATTTTTCTTTTTTTACGTTTTGTGTCGCCGTAACACCATATTCTGTCCGGTTACAGCCGAGTCCATAGATCTGGTGTCCGTTGAGATCAATCTGATTGAGCACCTGTGGACCGAGGGCCGGCCGGTGGCCAGGATGAGCCCATCACCGTTCACCCGCTCGAGTTCGCCGGTAAGACTGCATCTCACACCGATTTGTTACTGATTGATCATAATGACTTTAGGATCGCCGATATCTTACTAACCTCGCTCGACGCTCACGCTTCCCTGCCTATTTTGTGTGAACTTCAGTCGGCGATTCTCAAGGCAGCTGAGCCTCAATATAGGACTTTTTGTTTGCAACAGTTGCACATGGTGTTGTTTTCGGAGCATTTTTGCTTTCTCCAAAGTAAACATAATTACTTTGTGCTAAAAAGAATGTTGCTTTGGCATGTGTAAGACACATTACAATGT